GTGGAGGCCATCGCTACTAGGTGGAGGCCATCGCTACTAGGTGGAGGGCATCGCTACTAGGTGGAGGCCATCGCTATTAGGTGGAGGCCATCGCTACTAGGTGGAGGCCATCGCTACTAGGTGGAGCCCATCGCTATTAGGTGGAGGCCATCGCTACTAGGTGGAGGCCGTCGCTACTAGGTGGAGGCCATCGCTACTAGGTGGAGGCCATCGCTACTAGGTGGAGGCCATCGCTACTAGGTGGAGGCCGTCGCTATTAGGTGGAGGCCGTGCAGGCCATCGCTACTAGGTGGAGGCCGTTGCTACTAGGTGGAGGCCATCGCTACTAGGTGGAGGCCATCGCTATTAGGTTGGAGGCCATTCCTAAAACTGGACAGGAACGAATGGAAAGGGATTGCGACAGGGGTCCTGACACTATGGAGGGCCCCAGGATTTGTGTTGGGCACGCGTGTTGGGCATCAGGCTTTTGTTGAGGAAACCAGTAGTGAGGGAGGTGAGTTGAGGTGCCAAAACCGCTGATGTTCCGGTGCTAGAGGTCCGATCACGTGAATGTAGACTCTTGATTAATAAGGTCTCCCCCCGTTGAATTGAAAGACCTCTTTAGTATGGAAGGGTTTATGCATCAAGAGTCTACATTAGGACGTCGATTCGAATTCCACCAGAGTCCCCCCGAGCCCGACGGGGTGGACACCGTGGGTCCTTTGGTTGTTTTCTTCGGTTGATCCTTCGAGGGTGTGGTCTTAGCTCGGCAAATCTGTCACTGAGGTGGGTCTGATGTTTTTTCCTCTCGTTTGGATTGAGAGGGTGTCGCAACCCAAAAGAGGTCAAACATCGGGAGCTTGCGGCAAATAGGGTTTGGAACCCTTGGAGCCCGCTTTTTCGGTCGCTCCCAGGTCGAATGATCTGTCCTTGTGCGCCAGACCAGGAGCCTTTCCTGGCGTGTGTTGGCGACAACACAGAGCAGGGAGTTTCTTGATATCTCTTCTAAATCAAAGAAGAGACGTGAAGAAAGTAATGTAATTAGACTGATGTTCAATCCAGATGGGCATTATTATTAATAAAGAGCCTACATTATTGTACAAGCTGTGAAAAACAAAAAAAACAATTGGCCAAGTCAGTGCAAGCCCGGGAATTACAATGACCCTCCCTATTTTCCAATATAAGGATCGCATGAACCCATCAAAACAAGCATTCGACAAAACGTCTTCGTTCGAGAAGTTGTCATTTCTGGATCTAGCAATCTCTCGACCTTTGATTAGTCCAAGAGTTGTGCACCATGCCCCCCAAAAAAATAAAAAGCAATGGATCTTTGTTGTTTGTTCATGTGTTTGGCATATCAGTCTATGTGCAGGTTCTTTGGCTTTGTGCAGCTTCCAAGAGTCCAATTCCACAAGAGTTGGCCATCTTGAGAAAGCTGCACTTTCCTTAGCTCAGTGGATGCTCTGACCATGCTGCGACCCTCCGACCGACACGGTCGGTGGTGAACGCCCTACGAAAAGCGACACACTTGGGGTCCGCGTTCTACTCGCTGGGAGCAGTCGGGTTCACCCCAAGAATCGTTGGACCCGCCATGGCAGGGGTCCATTGGTTCGGGCGATTGAACTAGGGCATGAAAAAACTCACAACATCTTGAATTCCCCAAAAATTTATGGATTGAACTAGGGCACCGTACAGTCTACAGCTGCAGGTCTTTTTTCACAAGTAGCCCCTGGTAGGGAATCAACCATGACCCGTTAGAGCTAGCTGGTGGATTTGCCTTGTAGAATCACTGAAACATTGAGTAACTTGAAGCTACTAGTAACAAGTGCCACGCTACTAGGAACAGGTGCATCGCTAGTAGTAACAGGTGCCTTACTAGTAGTAACAAGAAGCTACTAGTAACAAGTGCAGTCCCCGTTCTTTGGTTCGGAAAACGGTCTCCAAAAGGACCTGCAGAGCGGCCTGCAGAGCGGCCTGGGCTTAGCTAGGTGTCTGATGGCTTGAGGATCCTCCAATCTCACACTCGAAGGTGGAGACCTGCATTCCAACCCGCTGCGCATCCAAGCATTGTAGAAAATTCCAGTGCATGATGCCACTACCTGACATCGTCCAGTTGTGTGAGAACACTTTTTGGGGGACATGACATGACTTTTTGATGGGTTGCACGTCCTCAAAGAGACACCGTCCTGAGCATATACACCGTTTCTCCCTTGATTGATGACTCAAACGCAATGGCCCTCCTCGAAAAAGAAAAAACTACTCGACTATACTGGCGGCCACCATTGGACAGGAGTACTTTAGGCTCTATGTTATGCTCTTTGTTGGTCCAAAAAATATCAAAAAATGGGACCTTCGACATGCTTGCAACACCATCTAAGAACTATACTTTCAGAGAATCCAACTTCACTGTCACCAGTGTCTGGCGCTGAGCTACAGCAAGGCTTGCCCCTCTTGGATTGGTCACGATTGCCACGATGGAAAAGCTGCAACTCAGATGATTGGTGTTCTTCGTGGTGTCCTGCACATGCTGCGAGCACCACATTGTGCGGTGCTCGATCATTTCGCTTCACATGCAGGCAAAGGCCAGTCTTCTTCTCACGAAGCTGGAACACTTCAGCCGGAAGCAATCCACCGTCCAAATAGATGTAGGAAAACCGATCCAAATAGCTCGCAAAAGGAGCACAACCGAGCTTTTGCTTGAGCTGACCAAACTCACTCATGTCTCCAATAGTCTCTCCGTTCTTCGTAAACATCTCGTATTCCGGGAAGGTCATGACCTTCTCGGTAAACTCTCCGAACCACGCGGTGGCGGCACGCGCCTTGTTGCGCATCACGTCCTTGGTCGGAATGGGATACCTCAAGACCGTCTTGGGGTTCTTGGGATCCCGCCACATGTGCGCCACAAAGGCTCCGTCGGCCACCTCGATCCTGAGGACATTAATAGTGGTTCGGAAAAAAAAACAGGGAAACAAGGAAAACGCGTATTATAGAAATAGTGGATCTATTCCATATTACTTTATACATATTCATATTCTCCATATATTCCCCCCATGCCAGGGGATTCGTTTATTTGATGCGTTTCTATGCTTTTCTGTTATTCCCCATGCTAAGTGATTCATAAATCATCAAGTCCGGGAAAAAGAAAAACGTCCTCCAAAAACCGCTCAAAACCCACCCAGGAATCCGCCCGCCGCAGAGCCACGAGCGCAGGGATTGGTCAATATTTTCGCCACCCCAGGCAACCATCTTCGTGTCATAGCCGCCGGTCTCCTCCCACCAGCGTCGACTCAGGGCTAAAAGGCCACCACTCATCAATGGGGCGTCTCGACCAGGATTGTAGAGCCAGGTGAAATCGTTGTTCCACAAGATGAAGCACACCTCAGACCAGGGCACCAGTCACTGTACGAAGTCGAGAGTCCGAGAGTCCCAAAAGTTCCCCCTATACTATATATACACTTAAACTGGACTGAACTGACTGGCAGATGTAGAAAAATAACATGTCTGTTCGGCCAAGTAACCTTCCCTCCTCCTCCACCTGGAATCTCCTTCCAAGTGTCTGGATTTAAGGATGTGATGGTCGGCACTACGATGGTCCGATGATCTTGCCTGCTTGGACAAAGATAGGGGTCGTTGACCCTTGAAAGTCAGTGATGGAGAACAGCATTTAACAGTAATGTTTTGAATATTATTGAATGGTACAGTAATACGCATAAATTGAATATTCCAAATACCCAAACCATGTTCCAAATGGTCACCCAGTTGCTTTCTCTTCATCTGCTTCAGAAAAGCCATTTCCCATCCCTTCCGTGGGCTGACGTGACAGTCGAAGAACACGATGACGTCGCCAGTGGCCGCATCCTGGGCTCCCATCGGTCCGACTGCTCTTTCCGCTGTTTCAATCGATCCGTTGGCACGAGTGAACGACCCCCACCCGTTGACACCGGTGGGGAAACCAATTCCCAAAAGCGGGAGGTAACGTTGCCACTTTTCCTGGGTAGGTAATGATTGGTTGCGATGGTCTGGTGGTCTGCTTCAAAGAAAGCAAAGGTTGGCTTGTTCAGGTCAGTGCAAAAAAAACGGTTTCAAACAGCTAAAAGGTCAGTGCCAGCCCCCAGTTGCGATTTGGAGGAGAAGTCCAGTGGGAGGCAGAAATCTCGAACGACACACACTCATAGAAATGCGTACTGACTTGACAGCGGTGCCACACGCCAGCCTAAGAAGCCAACCCTGAAAAACCAGGTAAGGGGGGGGCCTGAGCGCCGTTAGTTAAAGGCCAAAGTTCCAAAGCCACGAGGCGACGAACAGGTCGAAGTGACGGCGGTCGCTCTTGTCTGCAGAGTGCATTAGCCCTTTACGAAGACCTAAAAATTGTTGCAGGTACGTCCAGCTGGCCAAGCTGGATATCCCACCAGATTGCATAGCTTTGTTAGACACGGTCTGCAATCTGGTGCCGTGTCCCCCTGCTCTACAAAATGAAAACACGATCAGTACAATCCGAGTGGATCCCTGTGACTGCAAGGGGCCCACACACACGCACATGCTTGGACCTTCCATATAGGCAACCCAACAAGGCTTCGCCACCACATGGGATCCTCTTGCAGTCTGAAATTCTAGAAAACAATACACTATCAACAATATCCGCTCTATCTGAACAAAACAAGGAGAAGCACAGAGACTGCCCTGACTCTTGTGGATCAAAGCAAAAAATGCTTTTCAAGGTCTTCACTGGATGCCCCAAGTTCTGATTCTTTTCACTCGCCAAAAACCCCAACGAGACGAGCATCACCACCAGACTTCTTGGCAGAGATGAGGCCCAAGGTGCGTTCGTGGCGCACGATTTTCATCTTGGGAACGCCAGGACCTTGACTCAACAGCTGCTCGGACATGATCTTCCGCAGAGGTGGCCGACTACCGTCATCCACCACAATGATCTCTTTCAAGATGTTCTTATCGGTGTTCTCCTGGTCACAGGAACAAGGGAAGGCGAGTGGAGCATCTTTTATAGAATGTGTTAGACTGTTAGACCATGGATATCCCTCAACAGCGGTGTTCATCTATCAAAATCTTTGGTGGTCTAGTCGACGTACGCATATTGGGCCAAAGATCAGTTTCTCCCGAACAATACGTGCAGTCTCATCTTTTGGGTGGTCCTTTCTCCATTGAAAGCTCTTGTTTCTCCCTGAAGCTGTCTCAAAATGAGAGGTTCATGTTTCAGCAGTCCTGGGTCCCGTTGGTGTTCGGGTGCTTTTTGTGTTGAGACTCACGGACGGAAAGATTAGCAAGAGGGGTTGTCTGTTCACAACTTCGAACTGAGTCGAGCTGGTATGCATGTACACTAACATTCTATATGGCGAGTCTCAAACTGGCTGCATCCAAACCACAGGTCTGATTCTGCAGCCACTGGTCACAGGTCCTCCTGCAAATCTCCCTCTGTCTGTGGGTCATTCAACCGGGGCTGGTTGACCCCAGGTCAAATGAACAGATCCTAAAACAGGGCATCTGTTCATCCTCCCGTGGGTTTTGGACAGTTTGGGTCATATAGTCTTTCCAAAAACAGCCGACCATCAACGCGCGCACGCGCGTTAGCGCAGCGACACTCAAAGAGCCCAGACAGCCCACCAAGTGTCCCAAACAGCCCAGACCGTCTTCTCGGCAAACTCCCCCTCGAAGGCGCAGGGCAAGACCACGCTGAAGGTGGCCATCTCCACCGGCGCCTGGGAGGTGGGACTTGCACCGGGCCTCCGCGTGACCAAAAATACAAAAGTCCCAGGTGAAGTCGCAAAGTGGTGGTCCTGTACTTGTATATCTTGTATCTTGTAGTATTGAGCTTTCTGGCGTGAAAAGAGGAACAACATGGTCCCTTTCACCAGTGACCAGGGGCACGCAAAAGCTGTGACTTCATATCCTGGATACCCAGTGCCATTCAGCTCACTATGAAACTTGAATTCAACAAGGAAACAAGTAGGGGTGGTGGTTTTGGTTAACATCTCCGATTTCCACCACGAATTGGGTGCCAAGTATGGAACTATCACAGCTGCGATGACAAGCTATGGTAATTTGACATCCACGCTTGTCCAGTGGCAAGTGTCCTGACCCTTTCCCAACACAAATGCTCCTTCAGATGATACCTGGTACCTTGTGGATTTGTTCATTTGAGGCTTCCCAACAGCCGGCAGGGGAGCCCAATCTTGACACTTGGCGCCCTCCACTCATTCCTAGCGTTGCTTCCGTGCACCTCAATCTTGGGAGGCGCCGGCCGCCAGCGTAGAGCCGCCACCTCCTGAGCTGCTAAGCGTTTTCGCTCCACGTCCAGGGGCAGTGCGGCAGCGGCAGACGCCACATCGCTCTTTTCTTGCAGCAGCATAGGCCGCGGAGGTCGTGGCTCATCGTGGTCGTTTCCGAGGTGTAGCTGATGATGCAGTGCCTGGGGGGTTTGCTCAAACTGATCCAATGGCCCAGTCCCGGACCAAAGGGAACCCACACCACCTTCGTCACACATCCGCCGCCGTAAAGGTGAGCAGCTTCGAAAGGTCGTGGCCGTGGATTTCTGGGGAAAGCAAGTGGATCATCCAAAAGAAAGCAACCGGTAAATGATTGCAAACCACGCGCCCATGGCTATCATATGGGTCCTTTCACTCCGATCACTATGAGGGTACATGAACGACGACCGCCCACGAACTGCACCCGAACTGCACCTCTGTGTAGGCCACACTCAATAGGAGTACCGTCACAATCGCGACTGCCAGAAGGGCAATGCGCAGACTTGGCACTGCGGCTGAGATGACGACACCACAGGCAGCACCCACCAAAATCATCTTCCAGCCCTCACCTGCATCACTGTCTGGTTGCAAAACAGCCACTAGAAGGGGCAACGAAACCAGAGGCAACAGCCGCAGTGCGATGGTGACCAGGATATTCTTGGGAGCTTTTCGCTTCATGGCTGGGTTTAAGCTGCGCTAGGAGCCAGTGACGAGCGCGGCTCGCAAGTCGTTCACGAGTCGTCAGAGTCGTCACAAGTCTTTGAGTCTTTGAGTCTTTGGCTTCAAGATGGAAATGGTCCACATGTTTGCACTAGTTTGCGCTACCCTTTAAAGCTTTCATATATACAGTATATTTATATACCCTTTTAGAGCTTGGTGCTTCGCATTGCTTCGCCTCATTTGGAAAACCTGGAGCCAAAAGTTCCCGGGGTGTCTGTTCTTGTTCGAACTGTCGGCTTTGGTGCCAAAAGGACACACATCCAAGTGCAGGAGGTCATCTCTCATGTTCGGGTCAACCCGAAATCAACGGATCCCTGGGCTTCCTGGCTCACTATTGATTTAGGTTTAATTATTAAACTGGCCTGAATCCCGAACCGAAGCACCATTGTTTTACTCAGGATTCTACACGAAAAAACCAGGTCCTTCCCATTTTCTTCAACATGCTCTTCTTGGACTTCTCGGAAGGCATTCGCAGATGATCTTTCACTGGCGCCCATCCTGCTCGGGTGCCCATGAGCCGAGCCCGTTGACCCTTTGGTTGAGCGAACTTGAGCTCCTCTTCAACTCGAGTGAAGCTGTGTCTTCACCTGGCCCCAAGGCCGTCACGATGTCTTCATCAGAAAAGGCTGGAAGTAGATGAGGTATCTGAGCGAGGATTTTCAGCGCTGCGCTTGCGACCCACAGCTTAGAGTTGAATTCAAGGGCTCTTTATGATTGTTTAGAGAACGTGTTGGATATCATTTCTACAGGTTTGGGACTATACTTGTAATACCACCACACTTGCCAAGAACTTCAATCATAGAGCAATGACATGTAAACACGAGCTGGCCTTCGCCACCTCGAACCGTTTGAAACAACTTTTCGAACTTTTACTTTCAGGCGTTTGTCGCTGTTATTTTTTGTTCTTTTTAGTGGTAGTGGTGGACATCATCTTCGTCATGGGTTCCCTGATATGGCTGGGATTTCTGCGACCCGCGGGGAACGTTGGTCGGGCTTCAGCTCTGCATGTGGAAACCAGCAACGTTCCATTGCCGGTGCTGCGAGGTGGTTCCAGGTGGTTTGGAGCTGCTGATGGAAGAATCCCCAAGAATCCTAAATGAATCCGTTTGAATCCATTGGACACCCCGGTGTCTACCGTCACCGTCGACCGTCACCGGCGGTGAAAATCAGAGCCGCGCCTCGCACAGAAAGCCGGAGATGAGATAGCGTGGCATGGACGAGGAGGAAGGGAACACTCATGTCCTGAAACACGTCGTCCTTTTTAGCTCGGCTTGGGGAGCTGAGCGCTGAGCGGCGCTGTGGAGTTGGCACCTGTCCGAATCCAAAGATATGAGGATATCATATGAGTGCTCGGATAAAAATCAATGAATAGTAGGGGCTCCTGGCCTTACTACTAGAAGCTAGGGACGCTACTAGGGGCTCCTGGCCTTACTACTAGAAGCAAGGGAC